CTAACTATGCCCCTAGAAGAGTGTAATTCCAGACCCACAGCCTCTACTGGAATGGTTACCCGTACATCGATCTGAGTGAATTTCAATGATCTTTTTATGCATATGGCAACTTCACCTTTGGGACGCCCTGTCCTATCTTTCCTGATTGAATTATAACTTTGTAGGTTCAGAATTTCACCCTTCAAGTGAGTTTCCTGCACTAGAGCAATATCGACATTATTTTTGACAGTATTTGAATCTGAACAAAAATCAATTTGACACTTCGATTCTGTCATATTGAATTTGTTTATTGTGTGATTGTATTTCATAGTTCCGATTGAGTAAGTTTGTAACATGAGGAACTGTATGAGATCATTGGAGTTCAACAAGGGAGTTGAGTTGAGTTAGCATCGGGGGGACTTGTCGAAGTCCAGACAGCTAGACCGCTAGTGTGGGTCCATTGTATCGCCCCGTGAGTATGGCATCCTTCACAAGTGTCCCGCAGCTCTGCCGAAGGATAGGATGCCGGTAGCCGGGATGTTTGGCGCTTCTTCCGCTGGAAGAGTCGTTTGTCCGAAACTCCGCCATCTGAGATGTGTTAGCGCAGGACATTCACATAGGATGTGGATGGGAGTTTCGTCGTTTTCGAGACATAAACGGCACGTTGGGTCATCGGAGATGCCCAGAATGTTTAGATGTCTGTTAAGGCGGCAGTGTCCAGTTAGTAAACCAGTGACAACTCTGCATTGGCTTCTTCACATATTCAGGAGGGATTGGGTGAGACGTATCGAAGGCCTATCAATGAAGGTCTTCGCCTGCCTCATACCCCTGGATTCATTCCCGACAAAACCTCTCTGTCAGAAGTTCTTCAAGTTTTCGCAGTCCTGTGCAGAGAGAAATGCTCACGATGGGCTCTAGGCCCACAGGACGGGCTGAAGAACCTTGCCTTGCTAGATTATCGGCTCTTTCGTTGCCATCTATCCCACTATGTCCCGGAACCCAAAGTAGTTCGATACGGTTTTCCCTTGCTATCCCAGCAAGGTTTCGTTTGCAATCTAAAACCAACCGAGAGACCAGCTCGTAGAGCTTTGAGAGCGGCCTGACTGTCGGAGCAGATGGAGATGCGCTTGCCTCTTATGTGGCGTCGTGTGATTTCTTGTGTGCAGGCAAGGATGGCGAAAACCTCAGCCTGGAATACAGTGGCCAATTGTCCAAGGTGTTGAAACTCTTCGTAGTCTTGGTTCTGCCCGGTTCAACAAGGGAATTATTATTTGTTTGATAGTAGTGATGGCGACACTGATTATGTACCTGGGTGGCACAGATATTATAGTTATAACTCTACCAAGGAATCAAGCTGAAGCCAATTTATTTTGCCTCCCACGGGAGGTAATATTTTTTCTTCCGTGGGAGTGAACTGGAAGGTTTGTGTCCTCAAATTGTGGGAGCAAACGCATACTTTTGATGCAGTGAGTGTAGATAAATAGTTTTATCTACTCACTGCATAGAAAGTTAGCGTTGGCTCAAAATATTATACCTCCTGTGGGGGGTAAAATAAGTTGGCTTCAGCATGCTTCCTTTGTAGAGATATACGATTTGTGCTACCCAAGTACCTAATCAGTGTGTTCATCACTTCTATGAAACAAATAACAATTCCATTTTCCAATGATCTCATACACGTCCTCATGTAACACCAATCGAAAATTTGAATAAAATCGCAATAATTACATCACAATAAATTAATTCAATGTGAAAAAAGTGTCAATGTCAATTCGATTTTTGTTCTATAACCTTAGATCATATGAAACCTTAGATCATGTAACACATTTATTTGAATCAAGACTTGAGGCATAGACCGCGTGAAGCACAATTTTAGGAACGACGCTCTCAAATGTATGTGTACGTGGATAAAATCATATATACAGGGTGTTTCACAGGTGAAGGGAAATATTTCAATGGTAGATAGGGGTCACCAAGGTGGTTCTGAAAATACCATAATATTTGATAGGTCTTAAAGTATTCCAATTTCGAATAATTATTCATTCGTCTATATGTATTGACCTACCCAGTATATTTTCCTCAAATTTAGTAAGGAGCTTATACTTGGGGCCACAAATTCATTCACCTATCGGGCGGAGTGAAAATCCAGATTCCGCTTCAGGAAAAATTTGCATTTATTCGAAATATTAAAATAACACACTGTATTTAATAATTAACACAGCACATCAAGAGAATTGTGAAGAGGAGGAAAAACTGAATTGGGTTTGTTGCTTTTTGTTTTCCCGCCACCAATTCTCATCGTAACAATCATAAACAGAAAGTTGAAAGCATGCCAATTTGAAGAGTATTGAAATTATGAAACCAGTGTCAATTATGATTATTCGATATATTTTAGTCAAAAAATCGCTCGAAAGAACTTACTAAGTCTCACATTCTTTATAACAGAGATACAGGGTGAATTGTCGGTTTTGAATAATTATTCACTCGTCCATAAGTATTAAACTACCCAGTAACATTTTCTCAAATTCAGTATGTAGCCTACTTGGGACGATGGATTCATTAACCTATCAGGCGGAATGGAAATAATACCAAATAATTATAATTGTACTGTATCTTTGTTATAAAGACTATGAGACTTTTCCTGAAGCTGAACCTGTATTTCCATTCTGCCTGATAGGTCAATGAATCCACCGTCAGACTTAGTAAGTCCTTTCGAACGATCATTTAATAAGAATATATCAAATACTCATAATTGAAAGTAGTTTCAAAATTTTAATACTTTTCAAATTGACATACATTTAGCTTTCTGTTACTGTTAATTGTCACGATGAGAATTGGTGGCAAGAAAACAAAAAGCATCAAATCCAGTTCCGTTTTTCCTCCTCTTCACGATCCCTTTGATGAACTCTGTCAATTATTACATACACTGTGTTATTTTAATATTTCGAATAAATGTAAACTTTTCCTGAAGCCGAACCTGGATTTTCACTCCGCCCGATAGGTGAATGAATTCAACGTTCCAAGTATAAGCTCCATACCAAATTTCAAATTTTAGAAAAATATACTTACAGACGAATGAATAATTATTCTAAATCGATATGTACCATTGAAATATTACCCTTTATCTGTGAAACACCCTGTATATCTTGGGAGCAAACGTTCATTTCTTCCCATGTGTGTTTAATGCCTTCCGTTACGCGTAGGGCATCAAACTTCACACGCGGGAGGAAATAGATACCTTTGCTCCCTTGATATATAAATAGCTATTTTCCACCACTAGCTCTAGAATTAACCTACCATTATTTACTCCTCTTCAAGGCCTTTTTATTACCAAGGTATAGTTATCGTCATTAAATCAACCACAAGTCAATGAAGACATAGCCCCACCTCTGATTAACCAGAATTCACTGTTTTTATGCAAGATTCGCAAGAATGGCACTCGAATGTTCAATAACGACTTGTCATATGCTGTCATGATCATGGCTACTAGATTTCAATCAGAATTGAAAAGAAGTGCTTTCATAGTGACAATAGGACCATATTTAAGTTTCACAGAACTATAGTGATTCAAATATATATGGCAAACAGTCAAGACGCGTCTTCGCAGTGCTCCACAAATTTTGCTTTCAAATGCTGTAAATCAGAAATATTTAGTCATTATGTATGTGTAAATTGTTTGGGTATTCTTCATAAAAGCTGTATAGCAAAAAATAAGAGTAAAATACATTTTATAAGTGGAAATAAAGTTGAGTGTTGTGATGTATCTAACACCAGTTATGGTTGAAATCATATATGTTTGGACGTAGCATGACTGTGAGAAATAACGTTTTTACGTCAGGTGAGCGTGATGTTAAATTAGGAGTACCGCAAGGGTCTGTTTTAGGACCCCTACTATTCGTGCTATTTGTCAACGACCTGCCCAAAAACGTAACTGATTGCTACATCACCATGTTTGCTGATGACACAACAATTACAGTTGCTAGTCCTGATCCAGATGTACTATTAACAAATGTCGGCAAAATCATTGATTCGTTCACATCATGGTGTGACAGAAATCAACTCATTTTAAACACAACAAAGTCAGTTTCAATGAAATTCTATAATAGGAAAGATAATATCCCTGGTGAAATAAACGCTATTGATGAAATAGTTATGTCGCAAGATGTAAAATTCTTGGGAACATTTCTAGATGAGAGGTTAGACTGGGATCTACATATCAATCATGTATGCAAGAAACTAAATTCAGCATTCTTTGCAATTAAGCAAATGAAAGCATGTGTAGGCAAGGAGAGTTTATTAAGCATTTATTATGCAATGGTATACTCACACATTTCCTTCAACACTATGTCATGGGGATGTGGTAAAGATTTTGATAGAGTGTTTATAGGGCAGAAACGTATCGTAAGATTAATATTTGATATGGACTATCGAGATAGTTGCAAACCAATATTTATAAGAGAGAAATTGTTGACTGCTCCATCCATCTATATTTTGAAATGTTTGAAATGCATTAGAAGCAACTTGAAATCCTTCGATACCAATGCTTCTTCGCATGCTTACAACACACGCAATGGTAGTCACCTAAAAATACCAAACCACAAAACCACGAAATTCCAAAATTCTCCTCTCTACAAAGCACTGAGTTTCTACAACAAACTGCCAACGGAAATTAAAAATTCTGAATGTGATAGATTATTTTTTAACAAAATAAAATGTTTGCTGACTGACAAATGTTACTATTCCTATCAATAATATTTGGATGATCCATTATTGTGAATTATTTTACTTGTAGTGTGCTGTCACCCTATTCCGTAATACAATTTCAATTCAATGATTTTAATTATATATGGTCTTGGGCATTTGGACTCAGTCTATGATTTTATTTATACTGTTAATCGTTTCACTTTTAAATATGTATCCTGTGTTGTGCTTTCGTCAGATCCGTATTGATTTTATTTATTCATACGATTGTTATTTTTACTCAATGATCTACAATTTGGTTTTATTGTATTTGTTTAATTCAGATTCGTGCTGCTAATAGACTGCGGTCACGTGTTGGAAAGCAGTGGTATGGAGACGTGGCTGAAGGGGGAGAACGAAGCGGAGATCCAGGTGAAGGTGTGCCCCAAATGTAAGACGCCGATAATCAACACGCAGAGGTACAGCGAGTACCTGAAGAAGGCCATGGTGGACATCCAAAACGTGAAGAAGCGGCTGAACGGCAGCCCGGAAGCGAATCGCGAGATGAGGGTGCAATTGTTGACGAGAATCTTGTTGTTGAAACAACATCGTATCAGCAGTGAGTAAATCAAGTGGGAATTTCAAATTGTGGAAGAATGGGGAAGATTATCAGCTTGACAATTCATGTATAAAAAATCCCATAATAATAGACTGGTCGGTAGTGATAGATTTTCCGTAACGTTTTTTTAGTGTATGCAACTGAAGTGATGATTTTCATGGGTTTTCAAAATGTACTAGACAATTATCAATTTCTGCTAGCATGTAGCGGCGTCACCAATCAAATATGAATTTGCATAACTGGTTCTAATTCTCTCTCTTCTAATCTAAAAAAAAATACCGCAGATAAGATGTGCATACTCTGCACTCGTGTAGGAAGAAACTATTAACTGAACATGTGATGAAGTGGAGGATATTTTTGAACAATGATCTAACATATGCTTTTTTGCACACTGATTTTTGCAGTTACTTATATCCGCCGTCTTCGTTGATACAATAACCGCTATACTTCGTAGCTGATGGCAATGTTGCCAAATGTCATCATTCCTTAATACTCCCTTATGTAACGATTCGATAAACAACCTGTATACTTCAGTCAATGAAGGTCCAATAAGGGGGTTTAGAGGACGTGGAAGAGACGTAGCGTTGCCAGAAGTTGTACATTGTACCATATGTGGTACTTCTCAGTGAAAACAGTACAGTGGTAATACATTTCGAAAATGTATATAGTAGTTTCGTGGAGAATGTTGAGCGTTGGCACCACTGTGATTACAGCATATGTCTACTGTTGTCATTCGTCATTTGTCGATCTTTCACTTCAATTTATCATTGTCTCTTGCTTGTCAATTGAAATTTGTCAATTTCCGTTTCATTTCATCCACAGCCGGCTCATGTCCCATCTCATCATTCCCACTATGCAAAAACTCATCCTCATGAAACAGCTTTGTTACAGTGAAAGTGTATTTTCAAATAGTATTTGCAATAAAGCTTTTACGTACCAAGTCTTCATTTCGGAATGTGAAAAGTACATCCTTGGACGATTACATAACATTCATGTTTCAAAAATGTTCACCCGTGTAACTCGGTTACTTCTAGACTATTTATCGTGAATTCTTAACCTTCCAGTAGTCGCACGCGGAGTATCACTCCGCACGAATATAAAACGTAAGTTTTCTCGAATATACTTCATTCATTCCGGTGTGCAAAATTGCTTAGTTTTTGGATTTCATAGCGAAGTGTGGAGTCGTACTCCGCAGCGACCTTAGACGTCTTAGTTATATCGCATATTGCAGTTACACTTTGCAGCTATTTTGGACGTTTTAGGCAAAAAGTTTGTCTCATTTGATGAATGATATTTCATAAAATACCGTTTTGTAAACACACATGATCGATGCTACTCTGATAAAACAAATAGACACACCCAATTTCATTGTAGTCCATGTGAGAAATTCATGTGCTTATTAGAACCCGCTTTATTCATTTGCAGAGATTGCCGATGAGTCATTGGTGGTTTGAGATTGAAACATTTTCAGTTTGTACTCAAATTATAGTGTTTTTGTTCGAATTCTAGTTATCAAATCTTCGATAGTTGTCTTATGTTAATTTTGGGCTTTGTTATTGAATAAATATATTTTTATTGCAATTTTGACATTTTACTACATAGAGATATTCATGTCCAAAGGCATACTGATGAAATCTTTGGAAAAATTCAAGTCATCATGTTCAAACCACCCACATTCTCCATTGCGGAGTCAGACTCCGCAGCGACAGACTATGTCCTTTTTAAGGCGCGACTACTGGAAGGTTCAAACTATTACTAGCATACTTTCATAGCTAGGTTTTATCACACTGGGTTTTTCATAATATTTGGGAAGCGTTCTCCCATTTCTCCCACTACAGAAAACAGTAACTGGTATAATGAATTGAATTTGGTTCGATCATCACAAATGAATAAATAAATTGACATTTTCAACAACTTGAAAACAGAATAGTTTTGGACAATAATTGTTCAGGAACATTAATCATAGTTTTGAGCGGCTCTATCACATTTTGATGTGCGTACCATATATTTTGAAAATCCAGTATATATTTTCTGGCTGAAAATATACCAGATATTTTTTCAACTCTGCGATCTGTCTAAATTACCAATTCACAAGAGAAAATATTAATGTTGAATCACTCTGATATTCACTAGTCAGCTCCATTAATTGCTAAATATTTATCACGAGGACAAAATAAATTCACATATAAATGTAGTCAATCCATTTATGTAGAGTAGAACTACTATTGAGAGTATATGGATATTTGATTAATTGATTATATCCTATTATGTATTTTACTTCAGTTAGGTAGTTCAGTTTTATTTTATTCTATGAGCGAATCTATTTCAAGGCTGGAGATTTCATGTAATGCACCTGAAACACCAAAAAACTGTTAGTACTACTACTACTACTACTACTACATGTCAGCATCACATATTCATAATCATCCTATACCTTGATTAGTTTCCTTCCTGATGGTCTGTTCTTGATTATCGATACTTTCACCCTCCTCTGTAACAGAGGGTGGCTATTAGAGTATTGTGGTCCAATGTAAGAGTTGACTTTTATGTTTTTTTTTATGTTCTGGTTCCCACGAAAAAGGATATCCTGTAATGTTCAGAGAACATCGTGAGAACCAAGGGAAATGAGGTAGGAATTGGTGTTCTTCTTAAATTTCTGGCATATAGCCTCGGGGAACATCTCCCTTGGTAATGTGTTCCAGAGCCTCGCTGTTCGTTGGATGAACGAGTCTTTGGAAAGAGATGCTCTGCAGGTCTCCAAAGTGACCACGAATGGGTGCGAAACCTCAACTCGACAAGTTAATCTCGCGGGACTGCGAAGGGAGGAACAACTATTGATATTTCAGAAGATCATCGTCCATGAAATTATCCATAAATTAGAGCCAGATCGCCAACTTTTCTTCGGTGTTGCAGAGAAGTGAGTGCGTTTGTGAGCGAGGCATCACCCACGAGACGAATTGCCCTTTTCTGGACAGAATCCAACATTTTCAGGGTATGTTTGGGTGCTGCACTCCAAATATGGGAACAGTATTTCAGGATAGGTCGGATCTGTGCCTTATATAATAGTTAAAGTTAAATAGCTCCTGGCCCGAAACAGAAAACCAAGTTTTTGGGATGCACTTCTAGCAATTGATCTCACGTGATTTTCCCAAGAAAGGTTATTGCTGATAGTATGGTTACTTCTGACAAGCTTATGTTGGGCACAGTGAGATCGGTTTTTCTTGAGAAAAGGCATGCTTGTGTTTTGTTTGCATTGAAATCTACCAAGTTATTGGATCCCCATTCGAGAATTGTTGCCAAGTCCATGTTTATGTTGTCAACGTTTCTCCCTCATTTGTTTCTGATTTGCCTGGCTGGTATTAGTGCCTTGGAAGAGAAGGCGGTATGGAGGGTACTATCATCCGCGAAGCTGTGTATTGGACATGAAGTTGCTCCCAACAAATCGTTGATATGGAGTAGAAATAGTGTTGGTGCTAAAATTGATCAGATGAAACTCCGTCGACCACTACATGAAGAGACCTGTTGCCTTGGAGATATCAAGTGCTACGACTAAGGTTTCACCATATTCTTCAATAGATTGCTGCTGCCACATATGTGAGACGTAAGCGAGCAGGTCACCAGTTGATCTCTGATGACGGAAGCCATATTGCCTATCGTTGATAATACCTTAATGTTCCAGGTATTCCATGAGCTCCATGTTGATAGCTTTCCCCATGATCTTTTAAATAATAGATAGCAGTGCGATCGGTCTGTAGTTGCTAGGTAGGGTCATTTTACCGTTGTTAGGAACTGGTTGTACTCGTGCAATTCTCAAGTTGGACGGAAATTTCCCCAATTTGTAAGAGTAGTTGAACAACTTGCAGAGAACAGGTGTTAGTTCGGGAGCACATTTATTGAGAACATTGTTGTCATCATTTTTTCATACGCCTTTCAAGAATGAAGGACTTACTGATTCTTGTGTCCTCCAGTTTATCTATTCTTGATCGAATGAAATCCCAAATACGTGGATTCTGAAACCATACCTAAACGTCCCAGGCAAACAGCAGATTTGTATTATATTATATTTCAACTAAGGTAGGTCAGTGGTATGTTAATTGTCCAGAGCTCACATCATGTTCTAGAAATGTAGGTATCCAGGTTCCAAGAAAACTTCATAAGTACTGACCTGTAAACAATGCAGTACTTGGGGGACATTGATATATTCCAATGAAAACTCTCGTGAATGCACATGAATCAATAAACGCACTTTCTCTTGATTTTGTCTTGACTTTACTCCATCTCAAAATTCACACTTTGTGAGATATAAACAACATGAACCACGTCGACCACGACAGCATTATCAATCCCGTCGAACTAATCACTCAAAATGGTGAATATTAGCAAAATAGCGAGAAAAAGTGAGAATAAATAACGTGTTTGATTAGAATCAGGTTCGTGGTAATAGTCCTACGAAATATGATAAAAGTACGTAACATGAAATGTTCTGTGGAAGAAATAAGAATACTTTGGAGTAGGCGTTGGAATATTGACTGGAATAATATCACATAGACGTGGATAGTTAACTAATGAGTGTATATAACAAGTAGAAATGTTACGTAGAAAAAACTCGTTCACAGTATAAAAACTTTGCCAACTAAAAATATTTAGATTTGTTTTTTGAATTCTATTTCCTTTTCACATTTTTTATTGATTCAGGTATTTTGTTAAATAACCTTGGCCCAATAAAGTTAGGCGATGAACTGGTAATATTCAATCTGGCAAAGGGTATCCACAAGTTATTTTTTTGTTTCTTATTGAAATTGTGTGTTTTATAATTTTTCGGTGTCATATCTCAAAAATGAATAATCCAGTCAGGGTTAATATGTTAATATGTTCAGTTTGAAAAGATCTCTGCAAGAGTGTTGTCTTGGTTTTTTTGTTGGATCACCTTACAATTCAATGCAATGAATGTGTTCTTAAAATGTATGGAATTTCCCAAGAAGTCAATTCCAAATCTCAAACGAGATTCCATCTGTGCATAGTAATAGTTCATCAATTGTTCATGAGTTAAAATAGTCTTCAAATTGTACATCAAGTAATATAATGAGTTTAGTTCAGATGTTAATGATTCACAGTGTGTTTCGAAATTGAGATTCTTATCTATAGGTATAGTTCAATACCCAGAAATTTCACAGTATCGCTGGTTACAAGACTATATAGTTTGATAATGAAATCCTCACTGCTGTGACGTTCAGGACCTTTGGAATTTTTACTTCCTATCTACTCCGAACATATCCCTAGTCAAAAAAACTGTCTTCATCAATCAATTTTCCAAAAAACAGAGCTGTCCGCTTTAGTAACGCCAACTGGTGAGTGAAAATGATAGCCCACATTTAATATTTCAACATAAGTACTTGTAACGCCTATACTAGGTTTTTATTTAGAATGAACAATGCCCAAGGGGAGTATTCAATAGATATCATTGTGTTTCAGAATTCTCCATATTATTCTCTTCTGCATTGAAAGAAACAGAATCCCGCCTGGAAGAAACCAAGTGGGACGTGGAGAGAGGTCGCGTCAGGCAATCTTTCAACGCCGTCATTTTGAACTCGATAACTTCCAAAGTCCAAATCCTGGAACACATCGCCAAAATTTTCGTTTCTGGGACAGACAGCCCAGAGGTCCAGGCCCAACTTTCTTTCATCCTCGATTGCATACAGAGGAATGAGGTGCATGTGACCAATCAAGAGATAGACGACATACAAATGGAAATTAGCAGATTGAAGCGTATGGTGGAGCTGACCCAGATCAAGCAGCATGTTCCTTCTCTTAACCGTAAGTATAATAATAATGATAATATGTGTTGAATAAATACACAATCTCAATGTCATTTCCACAACTGTTCATGAATTGAACAACAATGGTAGATGACGGGAGAAAACATCTTCCCGAAATCTATACATTGTTTCATATGGACGAAAACTGATGCAAGTGTTTATTTCCTTGATACCGATTGATTTCGATTTAGCCAGGTTAATGCAACGACACCTACAGATCGTTTTCGAGCTTTTGACCCTTGTCATTATTCGCGGGAATCAATGTTACCAGGTGGCGCTCGGTTTTCATCGTTCCATGTCAAAGCCACGTCAAAACTGGGGGAAAACAAACTCAATCCTCACTCAATCCCATTAGTGCCATTAGATTGTGTACTGTGTACTGATAAGAGTGATAAGTTTTTAAATTTCTTGACATTCATTGTCAATATTCGATCGAAAACGCTAATAATGCCTGTTGTAGATGTTCTTTCGGCAGATATTTTGCTCCATTTAGATGGAAAAAGCCGACCAGTAGTGGAAGGAGAAGTAGTTCTCCGTGCTAATCATGAGATTTTGTGTGAGGCAGACTTCAAAAAAAGGAACATTTTTGCACTTTGTCTACAAACTTCGGCGATGAAATCTTCCCCACATGAAGTAAAATTGAAGTTGGGGTCCAGAGGAACTTGTATTTGTTCCTGCGAAGCAGGACAATCTGGGTATTGTTGGGCTAGCTTTGGATCTTTTGTAAAAAAATTTATAGACACTTTCCGAAATATAATTATTGCACTGAGAGTACCTACTTTCTTGATTTGCTCGTCATAATTAGTTTGAATTGTTTGAACTATCTCCAATTCTTCACCCGTTCACTGTTCACTAAACTAATAAAAATGTAAAAATGTGAAAAAATTAACCAACTCAACCAACATCACTACCAACAGTGCCAACACTTTATGTCATTGACAACTACAGCTACAGCTTTGGATCTTTTGTAAAAAAATTTATAGACACTTTCCGAAATATAATTATTGCACTGAGAGTACCTACTTTCTTGATTTGCTCGTCATAATTAGTTTGAATTGTTTGAACTATCTCCAATTCTTCACCCGTTCACTGTTCACTAAACTAATAAAAATGTAAAGATGTGAAAAAATTAACCAACTCAACCAACATCACTACCAACAGTGCCAACACTTTATGTCATTGACAACTACAGCTACAGCAAGCTGTATGCAATGTAGTCTATGTACTTTATCTATAGACAACAGTTTGTTTTTCCCCAGTTTGAAGTTCGTATTATGTAACCTAGATGTCGCCCTGAAGAATCTGGGAGTAGAATCTTTGCTCAGGATAGTTTCTATACGTTGATGTATTTTTTATTATTTTGAATACCCTGTGTTAAGTTGTTGTGAAAGGTATGTCAATTTTGATGAAGTAGAAAAACGTCTAATCAATAAAGTTTCATCTACAACTAACAGACGATTATTCGTGTACCTTATTTGAATAATTCAATAGGTATAATCAAGATAAGTGTAAAACGGTGTGGTTCCAGTACAGCCGACTTATCAACATAAGATCTTTTGGAGTCAGATCGATTCAATCACACTTTAGACAGTGAACACGCGTGGGGCAGCCGACTAAACGGGTAGTTCAGATCGAGAGCTGCACACAGGATTCAACATTTGGTGACCCCGACGTGATAAATTGAGGTCACCATAACAAAAATGTCTATAGCCATGGACCAGATTAAGAAAAGGCGGAAGACCGTCAGGGCACAGGTTACTCGTTTATGCAGTGAATGCGAAACCCTTCTCCGTGCTAAACCATTCGAGAAACAGAAACTGGAGGTGAAGTTGGAGATGCTTACGATTCAGCATCAAAACCTTCAGGAGTATGACCAACAGATCTTAGACGATCTGTACAACAATGATGAGACTGAAGAGCTTATACAGAAAGAGATTGAAGACCAAGAAGGATATATGGAGAAGTATTTGGTGATGAAGAAAATAATAAATGAAACAACCAAAGCTCTTTCCAATTGTAATTGCGACGACGACACCTTATCTGAAGCAGGATCCACAGTTGGAATTGGGAAGAATTATTCTCTACCTAAAGTGAAAGTTCGTGAATTCTCGGGTCAAATATTAGATTGGTTGCCCTATTGGTCTCAATTCCACTCCATCCACGACGACGAATCGATTCCAAAATCAGTTAAATTCACATTGCTATTGCAAAGTTTGGAGAAAGCACCCGATGCTCATCAGTTGGTGTCTAATTACGCAGCTACAGACACCAATTACGACGAGGTAATTAAGGTATTGACAAATAGATACGGTCGTGATGATATACAGATTCAAGAGCACGTTCGTCGGTTGTTGCTTCTACAGGATCCACGGAATCGGGACAAATCTTTTCAAAAACAATGGACAACCAGTGAAGCTTACATCCGTAATCTGAAGAGTTTGAGGATGGATGGAGTGGATTCTGAAACATGGTTGTACCTTATTCTGGAGGGGACAGTTCCAAAAGATATCCTGCTTCAGTGGCAATTATCACCAGAGGCAAAAAAGGATGGCAAAAACGAGGAACCCCCAAAGACACGACTAGATTACTTCAGGAATTTCATAAATGAACAAATTGAAGCTAGATTAAACGTAGACCTAGCTACCATGGGAATTCATAACGAATCAGAATCCAACAGAGCTGTGCAATCACAACGAAAGAAGGGTCAGAAGAAAGAGGAAAACCTTGCAACAGCGGCGGGACTCTATTCCGGCCAAACAACATCGGGATGTGTCTTCTGCGATGGGCATCATGCTTCAACAGACTGTGGCAAGGCAAGAAAGATGACTTTGGAAGAGCGAAAAAGAAAGCTCAACGATATAAGAGCATGCCTCAAGTGCTTCAAGAAAGGTCATCGTGTAAAGGTTTGTAGGGCTTTCGCTCAATGCTTTTACTGTTCGGGATATCATCATACCTTGATGTGCCCTAAACCACAGGAATGCGATTCTTCAGGTGGACAGGGAATTAAGGCCCATGAATCCGACCTCAAGATGAGTAATTCATCTTTCATCCCAACATCTACCACAGCTAACCAGTCAAGCATACAGTGTACGAACGAAGTACTGATGAAAACAGTCCTTGTCAAAGCATCATGCAAAGATTCAAACGAGATCAGAATAGTAAGACTTCTCTTCGATGAAGGTTGCCAAAGAAGTTCAGTTTCCAAGCATCTAATCCGACAGCTGAGAAGTAAACCTATTGGTCAAGAGGTATCAAGGGAAGTACTTGGGGATGGTTCAGTGACAGACTATCAACGTGTTTTCCAACATTCAATCATTCTGACAGGAATGATAAACAACTTCAGCATGAACGTTGTGCTCCGAGAGAAGAATGAAATTGGAGGAGGCACACCAAGAATTCCTATCGGACCATGGCTCAAAACGCTCCAGGACAAAGGAATCCATTTGACAGATTGTGTCAATACTCCGTTATTCAGGAATGACATTGACATTTGTATTGGGAGTGACGTGGAGGCTCTCTTAAAAACAGGAGAAAAGACTGATATAGGCATTGGACTAGCAGCGTGGAACACCAAACTCGGTTGGACCCTCAGTGGACCTATCGCTCAGGAATCATATGGCACAACAACCATCAATATGTTTTGTGGTGAGCATGAAGTCAGTCGTTTATGGAATTTGGAGATATTGGGTATATCAGACCCTATCACGAAGCTATCTGAACAAGAAGAAGAAAATGCGGCACTCGAAACATTTGTCCAGACGACAACACGAAAGGATGATGGGAGGTATTCCGTGAATCTACCATGGAAGACACCACAGTGTGATCTGGTCAATAATTTCAAGATAGCCGAAAAAAGACTTGCATCGACTACAACAAAACTAGAATCAAAAAATCGATACGAAGAATACGACAAGATTTTCAGTGATTGGCTAGACGAAGGATTTATTGAAGAGGTTCCAGATGACGATAGAAGCGGTCACTATCTTCCTCATCACCCAGTATTCAAAGATAGTTCCACCACCCCAGTTCGACCAGTTTTCGATGCTAGTTGTAAAGTCTTCCAATCTCCTTCCCTTAATGACTGTCTATACAAAGGACCAAATTGCATAGAACTGTTGCCCTCCATATTGATGAGATTCCGTAAAGGATCAGTTGGAGTGGTAGCGGACATTCGAAAGGCTTTCCAGATGATCGACGTTAAGGAAAATGATCGAAAATTCCTCAAATTCTTATGGTGGAAGGAAAAAGGGAATCAAACCAAAACGTATCGTCATTGTCGTGTTGTATTTGGCGTGAACTCCAGCCCTTTCCTGCTGGCAGCTGTGTTGAAACTGCACCTATCAAATGAACAGTTTGACCAGATCCTGTGTAAGAAGATCCTGTTATCTATGTATGTAGATAATTTGGTGACGTCTGTCAGCTCCTATGAAGAAGCCGGGGATCTCAGACGTAACTCAATACATATACTGAAGGATGCACAGATGGACCTACGTCAGTGGGAATGTACCCTTGGGGATGATACTGAAGACAGCAATCACACCCGCGAGTGGTGCGAATTGGAATCGGGCAAGGAACTAACGAAAGTACTTGGCATGCATTGGAACAAAAGAGAGGATAGCCTTGGACTCATTCTACCACCAGTTGATCCTTTCATCAGTGCAATAATGACGAAGCGGTCGTTACTGTCGTTTGTAAGTCAGATCTTCGACCCGATTGGAATTACAAGTCCAGCTACTATTGTTCCAAAATTAATCATTCAGAACGCTTGGAAGAAAAAGCAAGATTGGGACAGGGAGTTAGATGAATTCAGTATACGCCAGGTTAATATCTGGATGGAGTCAGTGTCCATGCTCAGCAGAATACGAATTCCAAGAATACATGGACTTTGCAATCCTTCGTACCAAGAACTACACACATTCAACGATGCAAGTCAAGACGCCTACGCTTGTG